AAGGATTCGATGATTACGTAATAACTGAAATGAGAAATATGTTATGTAATGAGTATTGATTTTTTTCCTTTATGAACAATTTTTTAAAAATTTAATAGAAACGGTTATTATTGAATTAAACAATTTAAAATATTTGTACTTAGTGAAAGAACAGCAGATTTTATAAAATTAACGGAAGATTATGTTAATGAACGACAAAACCTGGTAATTTTGAAATTAGAAAGAAAATAGAAAAAAAAATTTTAATTTTAATTTTATGTTCTTAACTGAATATTCTGCTTGTTTCTCGTTTAGGTATTTTTTTTAATAACAGACAATATTTTTAAGCCGTTAATGGATGAAATAATCGCCTTTAACTTGTTTCTGAGCTTCATTTGGAAGGTATCATCTTTTTTATTTAAAAAAATGGATTCAAATTCATTTGACAACTTCCTTCTATGTTTCCAATGCAAAATTCAGCGTATTTTTTTAAAGAAAATTTTTAAATTAAAAGAAAAAAGGAAATCGGTTTTGTCAGACAAATATTAATAATGTACATGTGAGAATCGAACATGTTCTTCTGTTCAAATAAATGGTTACCTAGATTATAAATTATGTTATGAAAACTTCACTTCCCTATTGTGAAGCAAACTGGCCTAATTTGGATTTATGTAAAGAACTAGAAAAACAGGAACTGTAAATTCATTTTTTTGATATTTTAATATTTTTTCAACATAAAAAAAATAAGCGGAAAATGTTGATCCACGAAATTTCTCAATCAATCCAGTTTTGTTAATGATTGGTCTCGGACCAAACTTTACCAAACGAATAAATGAAAAATAAAAATTACTCAAAATTAAATCTAGATTTGTCATTCATTAAATACATCAAAGTACATACTGTAGAATTAAAAGGATGAGTAGGATGAAATATGATGAGTAGATTGAGCTTACTATTAGTAGGATGCGTAGGATTAGAAGCATGAGAAGGATGAGTAGAATGAGTAGGATCAGTAGGATAAAAAAGGATAATTAGGATGAGTAAGATGAGTAGGATGAGTACTGAGTAGGATATGTACTGAGTGGGATGAGAAGGATGAGTAGAATGAGCAGGATGAGAAGAATTAGTAAGATGAGTAGGATGAATAAAATGAGTAGAATGAGTAAGATGAGCATGGGATGAGTAGGATGAGTAGGATGAGTAGGACGAGTAAGATGAGTAGGATGAGTAGGATATGAGTAGGATGAGACAAATGAGTAGAATGAGACGAATGAGTAGGATGAAACGAATGAGTAGGACGAGAAGTATAAGAATAACTGAATGAAAGAATGCAACTCTAAACTCTGAGCTCGGATATTGGCTCTGAACCTTGAAGAATGGAACTCACCCATACTCCTCAAGTTTATGCCATGCACCTATGCAAATCTTATGCACTGCCTGTTTCCTGGAATTTTTCACGGAGAATTCAGGCAGTTCCCCAGGCAGTAGAACCTAATGGTCCGGCTAGTATACTCTCGCTAGGTTTCACTCCACTAGTAATCCTGGAGAGTAACACCGCGCTTGGATGCTTGGCTTGCCTAGGCTCTGATATCGGAGCCTAGGTTTACCTTATCCGTGTCTCCGGTGTCTCATTCTGCTCTCTCATTGGTCAATTATTTATAACCCTGTGCTCCTATTGGCCGGCCGTTGACGGAGGTATTACATAGGTGGGTCACGTGATTCTAACTGAGCGAATCCGCGCCATTTGCCGGAACAATAACGTAAACATTAAATTTTGAGTTTAAACGTTTAATAGGTAATATATCACTGCCCGCTATCAAGCTTTTAAACTTGTAAGACAGAAGGGAGGAAAGGGGGGTTAGCTCACCTTTTAAATAATTAGATCCAAAATTCTAAAGTGTTGAAAAATAAAAATTGCAACAGGGCAAAGTCGGGTTAAAACGGTAAACAAGTACAACAATTTTGGTTCTTATAACACAGTACTTTCTGAATAAAGTCTTTAAGCAAACTTTCATTTTATGGCTAGTCAAACAAAAGGTAATTTGTGATAATTAATATAAAGTTTGACCGGGCACAGAAACTTTCTTATTTTAAATAATTTACACAATTTAAGCTAATGGGACACTCTTTTAAAGTGGTGATTTGAGATTTAAAAGAGCAATGTTTACATGTAAAAACTATGTTAGCTAGTAGATGTGTTTCTTTCTATGAGACTATTGAAGCAAGTTTTGTATTAGATTTATTTCTAATTTATGCAAAAATAACCTTATCACATGTTCTTGGCAGAAATTCATTTTCCATTGCAAATGATTGTTCTGTGAATTAATGTATCTGATTTTTGTAAGATGTTGGTTGAGAATTAAATGACATATTATGATGTCCAATTGGAGCTTGCCTGGAATGTTCCGATTTTACAAGAACTATTAAAAACAAGAATGAATAGTTTATATGTTGATGGATTCGATGATTACGTAATAACTGAAATGATAAATATGTTATGTAATGAGTATTGATTACTGTCCCGGCCCTGTGTATATCTTTGTGTGTGTCACTTACATCTTTTCAAGGAAAAACTAGTTGAGAAAACCTTTGGTTAAAGGGATTGTCGGTATAATTTTAGTTGACACTCCATTTTAAGATTAAACTGCCCGATTCACAACGGTACCCTTAAAGCCTTAATCAGATCATTAATGTGGAAGTTAATGTAGTTTTTCTAGTTTCCTAGCATGGCAAGTTTTTAATTTCAATAACTCAATGTAAAACACTTTATCAATGGAAGATAAATTTCCCAAAAATAGGTGTACATAATTTTTATAACCTTTTTCATTATGAAAAGTAGGGTAAATTGTCAATTACTGGATTGACTTTAAAGAGTCGCAGCGCCTTGTTTTTTTGGTTTTCATGCACTATTCTCCTAGACATTATTAAAACTATAATGCACTTTGTAATGGTTAAGTTTTCAATAAGTAATTAGCAAAATTCTCAAAGATCTTGCATGAGAGATTGCAAGCTTTATATCAACTTCAAATTTTTTCTTTCAATTTTCATTAATTTGGCTAAAAATGAGTGATGATTGATTATAAAAGTAAAAGAATTAAACACTCACTACGAACTATAATTGTCTACTCCCTACATCTTTGCAACTTTATGGTGTACACCTCTGATATTTTAAACTTTTACTATTTCAAATATCAAAGGTTTGCGACAACAGAAAATTAGAATTCATGGCGAGTATTTATTTCCTTTAATTTAAGATGAAATCTTAAAATTATTTTTCTCAAAAAGAAATATTTTATTCTAAGTTTGATTAATGTAATGCAAAATTTTGTATCCCATGAATTGGCATAGTTTCATCCACCAGGTAAATATTTCAAGTTCAAACACAAAGTTGAAAACTAGGAAATATGACGAGATATGTTTCTAGTTCTTGTAATACGACCCTACCCAGCAATATCATTCATATCCATGTCACTGCAAACTAGGGTTTCCAACGCAAGTAGATTTTACCTGCGCGTGTTTGCAAGCCCTGTAAACTCCTCGCAATTCCGCACAATTGCGCGCAATTTCGCACAGTTGCACGCAACGGAATTGCGATTGGAAACCCTACTGCAAACTAACCAAGAGGAGAAGGTCACATTCAAGTGACCTTACTGTTACGACGTTGCGACCCCGTTGCTCCTCTAATTCTGATTTTACGCGCAAGTGCAAGAAGGACCAATTTATTCAGTTACATTAAATTAAAAACATTTTTGTTTTCTCAATATCTCTTTAATAACAGAAAATATGCTAAACATATACGATTTCAATCTTACGTGCATTTTACTTTAGTTTGACGTGATGTAGGCACAAATCTACTTAGTTTGGCGTAATGTAGGCACAAATCTACTTAGTTTGGCGTAATGTAGGCACAAATATACTTAGTTTGACGTGATGTGGACACAAATTTACTTACTTTGGCTTGCTGTGCACACAAATATACTTAGTTTAACGTGATGTGGACACAACTTTACTTAGTTTGACGTGATGTGGACACAAATCTACTTACTTTGACTTGCTGTGGACACAAATATACTTAGTTTAACGTGAGGTGGACACAAATATACTTAGTTTGACGTGATGTGGAAACAAATCTACATAGTTTGACGTGATCTGGACACAAATTTACTTAGTTTGACGTTATGTGGACACAAATCTACTTAGGTTGACGTGATGTGGACACAAATCTACTTAGTTTGACGTGATGTGGATACAAATATACTGAATAGTTTGAATGATCGGGCCCACATTGTTCATGGCAACTCAAGTGACCCTAAAGAAGATTAATATGGACCATCAAAATTGAACAATTTGCAGGAAAAAATTTGTTAATTGTGAAAATTCGCCAAATAAGATAGAAAAATCTGGGAAAATTTGAGAATGATGAAAAAGGTTTACAATAAGAGGTGGCAAAGATAAAGATAAATCAAAATCAAATACTTTCGTAAAATAAAATGGAGGATTTTAGATGATTATGCTGAATTGTTCACTTTAATTCATTTATCAAAATTGTAACTTGAATATCATTTAGAGAGAAGAAAAGAGCATGGAGAAATTTCAAGAATAATAAATTATTATTATTTACTATAACACTGTAGGCCTACATAAAAAAGATGACAATAAAATAATTACATATTGTTTGCAGAAAAGGAAAATTTTTCTTTTTTGTTTTCTTTAAACTCGTAAAAATGTACACCTCTTCTTACAAAACTTCTTTTACTGACTGCGATTTTATTTCTAAATACATTTTATCGCAAATAATAAATCTTTAAAATAAGTAAATTTTAGATCTGCAATTAAAATGATAAAAAATATGGACTATTTTTCATTCCTTATTGAAACACCGACCAGCTCAAGCCTAACCCGACCTACCCTAAGCATCAAATTAATTGTTTTTGAAACATTAGTTTTCAATTGGGAAGTTAAAAAAGTTTGAGCTTTGCACCTGAAACAGTTTTGGAGTCATCTGAATAAAATCCTGGGGGGGGGGG